TTAATGCACTTAAAGCAAGTTGTGAATATCGACAATATTCAGAATGAAATAATACATATACTGAAAATAGTGATGGAACAGAACTACTTCCAATTTGACAAAAATACTTGCCATGGGTGCCCCCATATCAGCAATAACAGCAAAAATATTTATACAGACTATGGAACATACTTATAATATAGGACAAAGACAAAACAAACATTGAACAGACACTTTTAATGAATTTAACATACAACCATACAGTTTACTATCAAGAAAGAACAACACAAGGAAATCAACTATTTAGATATTACAATACACTACAAAGGCAAAGAATTAGAACTTTCAACATGCAGGAAACCTACACAGACTGATATTATAATACCTAATAGTTCATGCCATGAATACGAACATAAACTATCAAGGAGTACAAAGACAAAACCAACACCGTCCAGTGTGACTATTTAAGTTTTATCACTTGAAAACTCATCACCCTTACATGTTTCGATCCCTACAGATCATCCTCAGAGGTCATCAATACTTTTTCCGGAAACTACTATTACAATAGGTGTTAAATTATATACTTACACATATAATGTCTGAAATACACAATGTACACAATGTTCAACTTTTCACGGTCACAGCAGCCTCCTCGTATTAAATTTTTTTAAAAACTTTGTTGTTTAAGATTAAAATTTATAAACCATGCAGGTTCATGTCAATTCTCCTATTGTCTTTCTTAGAGGTGGCTGATCTTGTGCCGCCTGTCTACAACACAGCAAGCCACGAACAAACACGGACAATACTAAGAATCTCCTTTCTCAAGATAGACAGGCAGCACAAGATCAGCCACCTCCAAGAAAGACAATAGGAGAATTGACATGAACCTGCATGGTTTAGAAATGTTAATCTTAAACAACAAAGTTTTTAAAAAATGTTAATACCAGGAAGGCTGCTGTGACTGTGAAAAGTTGAACATTGTGTACATTGTGTATTTCAGACATTATATGTGTATGTATATAATTTAACACCTATTGTAATAGTAGCTTCCAGAAAAAGTACTAATGACCTCTGAGGATGATCTGTAGTGATTGAAACATGTAAGGCTGATGAGTTTTCAAGTGATAAAACTTAAATAGTCACACTGGACGGTGTTATTCTTGTCTTTGTAAGTGTTAGTGTGACGGACCAGAATGAAACAAAAAGAAAAACTTATCAAGGAGTAAATATCTATTAAATCACTTACACACATTTAATAACAAAAAGATCAAAACAAAGGGGAAAACACCATAAAGAAAAACATACTACAGAAAAAACAAATTTAACACAAACCTACTTGAAGAACCACTGTCACAACCAGAAAAAACAAAACATTCATAAAGACCCCAAGCACCAAAGAACAAAATGGACCACTTATTACATATTGCAGAAAAGAAGACAAATATCCAAGCTTTTAAAAACACACACAACTCAGAGTAGCCTCTGGCACACAAAACACGATCAACAATACATTGAAACATCACTCACAGACAGATAAATATAACAATAGCAGCATATATCAGATGAAATGCCTGGACTGCCCATTAAAATATGTTACTCAAACAAGAGAGCATTCGATGGTAAATATGAACATAGTCATGCCATCAGGAGTAACAATAGCAATTCCGGATATTCAAATCATATATTAAATATATGACATACATATGGAGCAATAAAAGATACTATGGATGTCATAAGGACAGGAAGGAAAGGCAGACACTTAAACTCCTTAGAAAAGTACACTTACAGAATTAGCAGGAACAACTTAAACATGAACAAACCACATCAAGCATACACAGTACAATAAGTAGCAGTACACACACTACCTGGAAAGATATTTAAAAGAACCACCATACCAAATCAGTACAAGGTACACACAACCAGAGGAGTGGTACACTCAAAGGGGCATAGAAGTATAAACACATTTAGACATAAAAGGGTAGCAAAGCCCAAGAATTAAAGACAGATTTACACTAACAAACATATACTCACATTACAGATAGAAGCTGAAATACAAGGATAGAAGAACAGACATGCTCAAAACACCAAAACTGAGAACGATGATGTACATCAAAGAGTACTATTAACATAAGTGAGCACAGTGCAGTAGAGTCATCAAAATGTGTAGTCTGAATATGGACCTGCGAGGCCAAAACATGTAGCCCAATAGAAAATATTTATATATATAAATATATTTCACATGGCTCTGAGGATGTACAATGCATTGCCCAATGAAATTAAAACAACCTTTAATTAATATAAATAATTTTAAACATAACTTAAAGGACTTTTTGTATACTAATTCATTTTATACACTGAATGAATTTTTATTAAGAGATAATCATTGTACAAATGCATAAGTATATGAGATGCTGAGTAGAATATTTAATGACTTTAATAACTAGAATACAATTATAATTATTTTAGTAGAATAATATATGATGCATTTATTTTATATATTATATTTTTAAAAAACTAGTATACAATTTAGTAGAATGTATATGATGAATTCATTTTATATCAAAGAACTGTATGATAAATATTTGTTATTTTATGTAAAAATCTCATCTTGAATTTTATTGAAGTTTTAATGTTTAAATATTAGAGAATAACTTTACTGTGACGTAAACAATTTTTGTTATAAATTATACACAGATTTTATTAGACAATTGCTTGATTGTATTAAAAAGATAATTTGACACAATTCTGTATCAAGGCTTCAGCCTCAAAGGATGTGATGGAACAAGAAATTAATGTTAAAGTTAAAGTTAAATGACATTTTAAGAACATTTTAACTGACATTTTAGTGAGCTTAATGTAAGTTTGATGTGACATAAAATAAAAAGTGCGTTGCATTATAAATGGAGGAGACACAGCACAAGTGATATTTCAATGCAACAGGATGCTGAAAAATATTATTATTATTGTGACGTGTTTTTAGTTTGAATCTTGTTGGTCACGTGTGTAAGTCCAATCCCACTTCTGACACCAAATGTGACATGTTTTTAGTTCGAATCTTGTTGGTCACCTGTGTAAGTCCAATCCCACTTCTGACACCAGTGTAACGTGATTAGTTACTGAAGACGCCATTCGGATTGTTAATTGGTTTATTTAACAACCTACAAGTATCGGCTACAATTGATTATAACACTGTTGCAGGGTTTGACACTTTATAACCCTATTCACAATAATCTCTTCACTCTGCGGGGTTTCACACTTTATAACCGTATTCGCAATAATCTGTTCACTCTATCTTCAGTAGGCTACACGTTTTCACAGTACAGGAGCTATATAAGTGTCTCTGTATTACACACTCCCAATTACACAATTACACACGCGTCCAGTTCTTCTTTCCACGATTGTTGCTATACTCCCACTCGCTTCATAGGCTGCTGCCTTGAGAACTGTCTTCAGCGGCTGCTACACTGAGGACTCGTTCACTGCTGACTGGAGAACTGTCTTCAGCCGCTGATACACTTTTAACTAACTATGGCGGCTGCGTAGTTCCCTCATATAGTCGCAGCGCCCGCCTGTTACGCAATGGGTACCGCTGTTGCCTGTTATCCGTGTCACAGCTGCGTTGCGTGTTACATCATCACGGGGAGAGGGGCAGGGTGTTGACTTGCCTATTACCATAGTAATGCCAGCGCTACAATGCCGCCACGTACCGCTGGGGAGGGAAGGGTCCTCCGTTGCGCAACATGTCACACTATCAAGAGCAATTGGCTAAGGTAAAACAAGTTAAAAGGCTTATTGAATAGCTAGAAGAATATAAGGATGGCCTTTGCTTCTATTGTTGGTTATGTAAAACATTTTACTGAGTGCGTGGTGCTGTGTGCAGTCCACCATAGCACATCCCACACACCACCACGTACTTCACTCGATTACTATACCTTCTGATGACAGCCAATAATGGTCAAAATATGTAAAGGCCATACTTTTACTCATTCTATTAAACTAGTTACACTTCATGCGCTTCAACTGCTTATTTATGTTTTTAGAAGTGTAATGGTTCGAGATGCATCTTATGAAGTTACTGGACGGTTACGCTCATGTTTTTATGTGAGTTACAAATACAGTTATATTACATGTACACAATTCTTATTACGTGCTTTTGTATATATGCATTTCTTACTAGCAGAAACATTCAATAGAAGCATGGTTCATTCTGCACCCTCTGCTCACTCAGACTGATTTCATAGTTATTTCACTGGATCTCCAACATGAAGCTAAATGCACATTATATAATTAACTGTATAAATGTAAACTCATTTCACATAATATTCATATGCTGAAATCCTTTTCCTGAGTTACTGCATGTTATACCAGTCAATGAAAAAGATTCATTATAGAATGAAATTCCTAGTTTTCCCATTGAATATATATAAAAAAAAAACATGTTCATATACATGCTTTGGCATTATACTCTATCTTCTAGCACTGAATGTATGGTGTAAATTGGGATTTACCTGTATTATATAGTTTACCAATGCTTCTATAGGAGTCGGGATAGTGTAGTTGGGCCAGCTGACTACAGACTGGATGACCAAGGAGTCAGAGTTCGAGTCCTGGTAGGGTCAAGAATTTTCTCTTCTGCACATTGTCCAGACCGGCTCTGGGGTCCACTCAACCTCCTATCCAATGGGTGCCGGGGGCTCTCTACATGGGGGGGAGGGTAAAGTGGCCAGGGCATGAAGCTAACCACTCACCTCCAGCTAATGCCGAGGTCAAGAAAATGCAGATCTACACATCCACTCCCCCATACACCTTCATGGTGTAATGCTTAATTAGTTAAACACTGGGGCAACTTTACCTTACAATGCTTCTATACCAAACATGTCCATACTTCATACAGCAAGACAACTAACATGTCAGAATACCACACCTCACTATACACTTAATGTACGTAATTCAAAACCCATATCAGATTCTTGGTTTCTTGGGAAGTAAACCAAATGCTGATATAACTGTTCCCTTTGTACCTGTAACACCTGTTGTTAATGATGGTTGCTGTAGCAGTCCAGCTGGTTTCAGTATATGACCAGCCTGTGTACCTCCTGCCATGTTAGCTGCCACCATTGTTCCAACCTGATCCCACTTTGACTTCCGTCGTTTAGCATCATCTTCTGCTCCTGAGCCACTACCTGGTCGCTTAGCTGTACCTGATACAAACTCAACTTTTGTTTTATCTTTCCGTTCCTTCTCACGTCGATCCATCTCTGCTTTTTGAACGCGAGCTAGTTCTTCATAAAATGATTCTTTTCCCCACCGTAAAGGGTCATAAGCGTGGGCTGGATAATTTGTCCCAAATTCATTTATACTACAAAACTGAATCAATTTCTCATAAATGCTTGGATTATGGAAATCTTTGCGCTGCTGTATCACATGATTCATGTCCAACCCATTTGATTGCACCCTTTCATACAAACGGCTTATCTTGTCTTGACGCGAATTTGAACAAAGGCCTGTTGGTTCTGGAGGAAGATGGACACCATCTGAAGGATCCCCTTCACTACCTACTGACTTCTGCCTTTCTTGCTCTGCACCTTCACCTGGGGTTCCTTCATCATCTGAAATAACCGTATCATCATGGTATGAGACTAACCGTGGAGGCACTACAGGAACTGGTGGTGTTGTAATATTAGATATATTGGGATCTGCGCTACTATCATCATTTGGTGATTTCTCGTTATCATCCACAACACCATCCTCTTCACCTTCAGAATCTGTGTAAGTGGCAGTAAGAGATGCAAGAGCAAAGCTCTGGCTAGACATTTTGTAACACAACTCTGTTCACAGTCTACCTCCAATGTGACTGCAGCTCTAATGACAAAAGGGCTTCAACACCAAGACACCTTTTGCAATTGTACCATATGGAAACCTGAAAAGAAAAACAGGTTCAGAAAATGATGCTCAAGAGTTACAAAGCCTGCGGGAACATGAAAAGATTCACAAAGCATTTAAAACCTTGATTTCCTTTGTGGATAATTTTACGTCGCTACCAGCATCTCCCTTATATATAACACAGCACAGACTGATTGATTGATTGATTGATTGGTTAGGGACGAGCTGGAAAGGATGTTAAAGGAAGTGGTCGTTGCTTAATCGAGGAACTATCTTGGAACTTTCCTCGAGGTACTGAAGAAAATCATAAGTAACTTCCCTGAGGACAACCAGTGTGCCCTTCCGAAATTCGAGTCAAGTACTTCGTACATACAACAATGGGGCATTAGCGATACACCTACCTGCTTACGATCTTCCATACATTAAAGGGTCATTTCTCACAATTTACTTTGTAATATGGAAGCCATGATTTTATACACAACTGTTTAAACTAGGTAATTCGATACTACAAACACCGACTACCACGTAAATACCTTGACACTGGGAAACAGACTACACAGAACTCACATCCAAACTTCTCCAGCTCTAGAAATTAGCGTTTCGGGCGAATAATTACTTCAACCGCATCGATAGCCATCATTAGCAATGCTACCAACAAAGTCTCTCTTCTACTTCTGCCTGTTTTTCTTCGTGCAAAGGCGCAATCATTGTAGTGAAATCGAACAACGTGAATGGTACTTTAAATTCAATTCTCTTTACGCGTGTAGTAATAACTCAAAAATACGAAGTGATAATTAAATTTACCTTACTATATTGTACAGAGGCTAGACCAGTGCTTCTCAACCTTTATATGAGACCGCGGCCCAGTAAGTTCTTTTTTTATAAGACGAGGGCCCAGTCCCAACAAATTTACTCGTAAATACCTTTCCACTTTTATTAAAGTTCATGCATTAAGCTAACGTAATATTAGTACTTAATTTAGCATAATCATAAAGAGTATTAGTACACTTATGTATACGGTGTGGCATGTTGACAAACATAAAATTACATTTAAATTAGTTATCAGTCACTGGACTAATGAAATCTTGTAGCATTCTGTAGTTTCCTCAGACCAACATCATTAAATTAATTTGTGCTAATTTTCATTAACGTATCCCATGCTGATCACCAAAAACTTATGTTATTCAGCTTAAAATTGATTATTGTATTATTAAATTGATTTTAATGATGTTGGTTTGAAAAAAAGCGGCAGTGTGAAAAATATTTATGCATTGTAACTCACCATAGAAGTCAGCTGAGTAGGGGAAGAAGCAGAAGGATGTCAACTTGCCGGCGAAACACTTATTATCACATACACACGCCAAATAATTATATATGTAAAGTATGTAATTTGATAAATAAAAATGTATGAATCTCTCAATTCTAAACATTACTTCCAACACTAATTCATATTTTGATTTTAAAGACGCAGCACTTTAAGAATACCCCCCGTGTGGAGGCGGGGCCGAATACCTCCACCGTGACCCTGCGAGTCGTAGGAGGCGACGAAAATGAAAGTCTCAAATCTGAGACAGTAAAATATGGTCGCGAGTCCCAAGGACTCGGATCCAAGAAGGCATGAGCTGGCCAGCACCAGAAGCATATACAAAAGACAGATCCGTCCTCTCGTCAGAGAGGGCGCCCCACAAAAATAAGACCGTAACTGTCAAACGGTAATAATTAATATCTGGTCATGAGCCCCAGATGGGGCTCGACACCAAGATTTGCTGACTGACTGGACGTCAGTCGCAATGTGACTTTGACTTTGACACCAAGAATACGGTAGTAGTAGAGTGAGTGGAGGTGGAGAGTAGTGATAAAGTGACAGAGTTCAAGTGTTTGTCCACTGCTTGTGTGTGTGAGACTGTGGGTCGAGATTATTGGCAGTTAGGTGTGTGTTCGCATCGATTGTAGCTGAACAGTGAAGAGTGGAGTCTGCGACATTGGATTAGTATTTATATTCATTGTTGATAGTGCTTCTTCAAAAACTGAAGTGAGTGAACACAAGACAAGAACAGTGGTGCCAAATATGGCTGCCATCCCAGTGCCGGGATACCGGGCACATTGGACCACGAAACGTCAGACGCTAAAATCACAGTACCAGCAGCTGGTAGGCGAGTTTCCCAACGCAGACGCACAGCTGAAACAGCTCCTTCAAGTTCTCCGCGACATCGAGGACGTGGCAGGGCACACTCCAGCTTCGGTGGGTGACAGTGAAAAGTGGCCATCCATCGTCAGCGAGGCGGACGAAAACGGCCCGAACTACTGCCAGGTCCTAACAGGGAAGACCCTGTTTAGTGCCCTGTATGGCACATACGCAGTCGCCTTACTGAAGTTAAAGGCTGTGCTGAAGGCGAGCAGTCAAACTGCTCAGTCTGAGGAAACTAAGTCCTCTTCAACCCAGGAGGACGGTTTCAAAGAAATCCGGCGGCGCAAGCGGCACGGTACCAATGCGGCCGCCCCGACCTCGAAGAAAAAAGTGGCAGCTGCTGAAATCACGCCCCCTAGCAACTTCTTCGTCCCCCTTAAAACATCAATGGAGACTGACAGCACTAGTGCAGAGGCCGCCACACCCGAGGAGTCAGTCTCTGGCAAAGCAGTTAGGCCGTCTCCAATAATATTTACATCATCCACGAATCTCATACAGTTGCAAAAGAAACTGAAAGACGTGGTCAAGGACGACTTCGAGTTCTGTAGCACAAGAAACGGAACCAGAGTCGTTACGAAAGACGTGGCGGATTTCGAAGCCAGCAAGTCACATTTCACCAACAATAACCTAGCCTATTATTCCTTCTTCCCACAATCTCAGAAGCCTGTTAAGGAAGTAATCCAACATCTCCCCATCAATACCCCTGCGCAGGACATTTCAGAAGATCTTGAAAACCTGGGCTTCGATGTTGTTAGCGTCAAGCAAAAGACAACCCGTTGATCCCAACCTGAAGAACCAACAACCAGGAACCTTCCCTTGTTCCTGATAACCTTATCGCGGACGGCAAAACCACAGGAAATATTCAATCTGCCAAGCCTTTGCCACATATCAGTCAAGGTGGAGACGTATAGAGCTCAGACTGGACTTACGCAATGTCATACATAACTGTCAACAGTTTGGCCACGTCTGGGCTAAATGTAAACAACCTCCACGCTGTTTGTGGTGCGGAGGCGGCCACCGTCACAAGGAATGCCTAGAAAACAGAAACGCTGCTTCCACCCCAATATGCTGCAACTGCCGGTTGGCAGAGGGAGACAAGCCACACCCCACCAACTATCGGGGTTGCAGACACACCAGGGAAGAAGTGCAAAAAAGGAAGGCGAACAGAACGCCGAAAACTGCTACGGAGAGGGTGTTCTCATCGAACCTTGTCACCCCAGGCGTGTCCTTCGTTGTGGCACTACAAGGCAATGCAGAACAACAGTGACCACAGGCAAACCCCGCTCCAATGGCTTGCCCTACAGTAACAAAACAAAATGTACCAGCCCCTGCACTACAGAAAGATACAGGTCAGTCAGTTCAGGCTCCTCATGCAAATATTCAACCTCTCGACAATATGTTGAGAGTTGTGACTGCAGTACAGCAGATCATGACAGAGATCAATGGTGCAGTGTCTGAAGAGGACAAAATAATGGCCATTACAAAAATTGTATTAAATCTCATGAAACAAAATGGCCACTAAAGTTCATAGGCCACTCAAAATCATACCATTTAATGCGAACGGCATTTGGAGGCAGCGCTATGAGCTCAGTAAACAGCTGCAAGACCTACGCGTAGATGTGGCCCTGTTTTCAGAAACCCATCTGAAACCTCACGAGAGATTCTTTCTTCCAAATTACCACATTTATAGAACCGACCGTCACTCAGGCAGAAAAGGCGGAACTGCCGTTGCAGTTAGAAATGGCATCCCCCATAACCATGTAGATCTACCAACCCTTATTTCAGTAGAACCGACAGGAGTCTGCATATCAATTGGTAACAGTGAAGTACTGCTTACAGCTGTTTACAAATCCCCAGGCAGGGCCTGGAGTGATGGTGACATCACTGAGCTCTTAAGCTTTAAACGTAAGTCTATTTTGGCAGGTGATTTGAATGCTAAACACCTATTTTGGAATAGCAAAGTTTCAAACCCCGCTAGCTTGAAACTCATGGATTTATTTGATATTAGTGATTTCAAAATCTCAGCACCACATTGCCCCACTCATTATTCCCCTACGGGAAATGGTGACGTTCTGGATATTGTGGTCTACCAAAATATCAGAATGTTAGATGTCATCGTCTCCGATATTTTGGATTCAGATCACCTACCAATAGTATTCCACATTATTATTATTATTATTATTATTATTATTANAGAAGCCGATAAAGCGGCGCGCGACTTTGCAGCTCTATTGCTTCGGCATATAGGTTGTCCACAAGAAAAGTTACACTTTCGGACATAAACAACGATCTTCCTGGTCTAGGTCGCCTGTTAAAACATAAGCAGAGGCTACAAAAATTGTGGCAAGAAGCCAGGGATCCAGCATGTAAGACGGTACTAAATTGGGTCACAAAATCAGTCAGGCGAATGACCCGACAAAAGGAACTTGAACGGTGGGAAACAAAAATAGGTAACGCTGAAGTCACTCCTCAGAGTATATGGCTAATTGCGAAATCCCTCCTAAAGAGGGATGGACCAAGAGCACCAACTGCTATTCATGGTGCTGCAGGCATTAAATTTCACCCATTCTAAAAAGCCAATGCAATTGCTGATTGTTTGGAAATTCAGTTCACGCCGCACAATCTGTGCGACGATAGCCGTGAACGGCGGGTGGAGGCTAGAGTTCAAGCTCTGCTCGAAACCGTAGACGACAAACCCCTCAAAGGATCAGACCATGTGACGTACAAAAAATTATAAATTCCTTGAAATTGAAAAAGGCCTGTGGAATTGACGGCATCCCAAATGCATGCCTGAGGCAACTTCCAATGCGACCATTAGTTCACCTAACTCATTTATTTAATCATTGTCTTCGGCTCTCTCATTTTCCAAATGCTTGGAAGGAAGCAAAAGTAACAACTTTACCTAAACCCGGTAAAGACCCGAAATTCCCGCAAAATTTACGTCCGATCAGCCTCCTGTCTACGAGAGGAAAGCTATTCGAAAAAGTAATTTGGAAGCACTACAAAAACTTTGAAGAAAGAGGCCTGCTCAACACAAGCCAGTTTGGTTTTCGTGCACGTCACAGCACGACATTGCAATGTATGAGGCTGGCGGACCACGTGACCCTTAATTTCAACAATAAAATGTCTACGGCTGCGGTGTTCTTAGACATCGAAGAAGCCTTTGATACCACGTGGCATTCACGCTTACTGTATTAGTTATGAAAATTGGAATTTTCGAACAGTTTGACCAAACTTATTGGGTCCTTTCTTTCTCAACGTAAATTCAAGGTTTCGGTTGAAGGCCAAATGTCAACCCCAAGGGAAATGCAAGCAGGGGTGCCACAAGGCTCAGTCCTTTCCCCTACCCTTTTCAATTTGTACATAAACGATGCCCCCCAAACACATGGTGTTGGCAGTTGTAGTCTAGCATTTCCAGGCTAGTATTTGTAATACTGCAGATAGCAGTAGTTGTGAATCTGTAAATTGTGTGATTGTAAGAGCGAATGTGAAATAAAATTCGCTATTTCCAGCACGGCG